GCCCGGGCCGTCCCCCGCCCGCTCCCCTACCAGAGCATGCCTGCTTCCCTGAGGACGCTGGAGCTGAGTCACTGCGAAATCCCTGCTGCCTGGTTCCAGGGCCCTGCCGCGAGCGCCCTGCCCCAGCTGCAGCATCTCATCGTCCGGAACGTCCCTGCCTTTTGCGCCCAGCGACCTCCGCCCGCTCCCCTACCAGAGCATGCCTGCTTCCCTGAGGACGCTGGAGCTGAGTCACTGCGAAATCCCTGCTGCCTGGTTCCAGGGCCCTGCCGCGAGCGCCCTGCCCCAGCTGCAGCATCTCATCGTCCGGAACGTCCCTGCCTTTTGCGACCAGCATCTGCTAAACGTCTCCTCCCAGACTCATCTGAAGACGCTGACCCTGTCTGGGACCTACCGGGTAACAGACGCAGGGATTCAGAGAGCAGCGGTGTACTTGGGGGGGCTGGAGCGCCTTGTGCTGCGCCACTGCGTCATTACCGACTCCGCTGTTCGTTTCATTGGGCGCCATATGAAATGTCTCCGACTGCTGGAGATCAGCAATGCTTATTCCTTGACAAATGCAGGTTTGGCTTGCCTAGCGACCCTGAAGTGCCTGGAAACGCTCTGCCTTGACCTCTGTGATAAGTTCTCCCCTGATGCCATTGTTGCTTTGTGCCAAGCACTCCCCCAGCTGAGGAATCTCAATTTAGATGGGGCTCATTTTGAAGATGAGGCAATACATAAAATTCAGGCGAGTTTGCCTAACTGCAGCTTTTCACATACTCCTTGATACAGATTCTGAAGCAAGATGTTAACAGTTTAAAGTGGCAGGACGCTCGCCCTTCATCACCAAGCTTCAAATGTGCTTTTTTGGGTAATGATTTTTTTTTTCCTGGTAACAGTTGTATGCTCCCACTCAGGCTAAAACAGTGCTGTGAAAAGAGCCAATTTTCACATTGCAAAGTCATGTAAATAGCTTGGTGAGAACTTGCTTCTGGTGGGATCCCTCCATGGATCAGGCAAATTGGAAAGTCAGTGAATACGCAGCTGTTTACGTTTGGGAACCCCAGCAGTGAATTGACCAAGGGCTGACAGAGGTTTCAGAGAGTGAGCAAGCGAGTGAGCACACGTGTGTGTCCATATTTAACCTCTTCCTGTGCCCTGTTTCACCCCTGTGCTGAGCATCAGGCAGCAGTTCAACCAGCACAGAATTCAAGAGATGAAGTGAGATGCCCTACTGCCCCCCACCAAAAACAAACTACCAAAAAAAAAAAAAAAAGCTGCCCAAAACCTAGAACTCCAGTTAATATCTAACTTTGATTGCTCAACCACCCTGTGTGTACGTTCCTAACTATGCCTAGGAAGAAACACTTAAAAGGCTGCGCTTCAGACACGTGCTGCCAGAGTTGGTTTGTTCTCGGAACAGTTCGGGTGACCTGCTGCCCAGACACCGAGTGTTTTCATAGTTTGGGCTGTCTTCTTGCTTTTATCTTCCTGCCAAGTTTAGTCCTGAAAGTTATTTTTCAAAATGCAGAAAAGTTTGGTTGCAGATCTTCCTAATTGCTTGTTCCCAAAAGCATCACATTCCATTTGTGGAGAGAAAGGGCACCCATACGTGCTCCTGGGCATCAGAGGGGGCTGCTGTTACCTCTCCTTGTTTTGCTGGGCTGTGCTACCGCGAGCAGCCACATTGCCTTATTGTCTTGTATTGTTCACATACTGCTCTTACTCAAGATGTTGTAACAGCAGGGACGTGACAGAAAAAACTTACCTGACATTGCAACTGAAGCTTTGTGACATTGCTGTTCTGGACTGTTGGGTTACCCAAGGATGCTGTTTTTAATCAAATACTGTATTTATTAAATAAAAGTGTTTTTGACTGTTAGCCTTCCTCATGCTATTGGAATATTTTGACTGAACTGTCATAAGTGTCTTTGTTAGAATATGCAAGTCAGGCAACCTTTGTCACTGCACAGTCGGTGTGCTCAGGTGTTAACAGCTGAAGACCTGCTGCCCTGCGGTAAAGCAGAAGGGAAGAGTTGCACACGAATCAAAATGCAGTGATACAGACCCACTGGAAAGCTTGGCGCAGGACTGCAAGACTCCCTCAGGGAAACCCATGGATTTTGTCTTCCAGTTTGGTTGACCCTTTTGTCCTAGCAAAGCTTTTCCATTATTGAAGACACATGTGGAGTTAAAAAGCACTAAAACACAAGTCCTGAATCCTAGTCTCCTACCCAAGAGATTCTTTCATGCCATTTGCTTCCTCCCTAATCCAGATTGACAGGGAGGTGCGATGATTCCCGCAGCACCGTAGCTGCTCGGCCTTGTTTCCCCAGGAGCTAGTGGAGACTGCAGAGAGCATTCTCCCAGGCGATGCAGCAGCAGCATTACTGTCTCGCCGCGTTGCAGCGTCAGCATTACTGTCTCGCCGAGTCCATGCAGCAGCAGCATTACTGTCTCGCCGAGTCCATGCAGCAGCAGCATTACTGTCTCGCCGAGTCCCCTGTCCTCTCCCAGGCTCCGTTTCTGGACATGGCCGTTTTCACCTGGCCTCACCCCGTGCCTTCCATTCAACTGCAGGTTATGCAATAAGCGCTTGGGTTTCAAACAGATCCGGATGGCAGTGACCCTCTGTGACGAAATGCTGTGCATCTCGTTAACAGCTGGTCTTTGTGCCCTGGCCTCATTCTGGCTTGCTGTTCCTATATGCAAACAACCTCAGTGTAGCTCTGGGGCAAATAAACAATGGTAAATGCCTCAGCTCTGCTTTGGAAAGCATCCCAAGGCTGCTGGCTTAATAACTACTGCTACACGTTTACCACAGGTACAGAGGTTTATGCTGGAGTAATTATCATTATTAGAACTTCAGCACTATCTGTCCCAGCACTCTCTGGGCTCAGAGAGTGAAGGCAAATCAGCAGAAGTTAAAAACACAGCAAAATCACTCAGTCAATCAAAATGCAGTCTGATGCAGCAAGAATCTAAATGTTCTCTTTCAATGTTTGCAGTGGGATGTTTGCGAGCTTGATAGCACAGTGTACCAAACAATGTAATTTAATATCTGCTGATCCCAACTTGCCAGTTTTCCACTGTCTCTGCAGAGCATGTAATTACTAAACATGGAATAGCATGAAGCAGCAATTACAAGTCCTATATGCCATAAAGTGGGCTTCTCCTTGCACTGAGTTTCGGAATCTGGGTACTGCAAGTTACAAACTTCAATATCGGATGACCTTGGGCAAATTATAAGAATAAAGGATGGAAAGGGTCCTCTTAAAACATCAGTTCTGTTTCTGTCCCTACTTTCACACATTTACCAAAGGATTTTATTTTGGCAGTTTTCAGAGGACTGTTCTAGAGCCTTATTGCTTCTAGTTCCCAGCCTAAACAGTTTTCTGGACTGTTTATCCCCATTTCATCTTTTGCCAGCATTACCCTTTAACATAAGGGGCTCTTCTCCCAACCCTGTCTTACTGCTGTCTATTTACACATCATGAAATCAAAGCCCAGAGGTTTTGTTGTTATTGTTGCTTGTTTGCTTGTTTTTTTTTTTAAATACAGAAAAAAATACTTAGAAAAAAACGGCTAAAACCTGCGTGTCTTGCAGTGAAACTAGTATATAAGATAGGTCTCAAAGTCATATTGGAGTTGAGAGGAGTGAAAATTCACAACTGCCAAAGTGAAAAGCTGTTTCTATCATACAGAAAACTTTGAGAGGTTTGTGGAACTCCATGGATTATCAATTAGTTCAGGGAGCTCCACTTAATTAAAAAGTTGATACTGCACATCCATCATGCATACATTTAAGGCACATTAATGCAGATGCTTTATCAGCCCTGAATCCTTTTTGTTTTCTTGTGCAAGTGTATCTATAGGGAGAGTTGTTTTGCCTTCAGCAGTTGCTGAGCAGCTGTTTGCCCAAACAGAAGACTACTTCTCATTTTCCAAATCTACTTGTTTCCAAAGTTGTATTTTTGTTCTTTTATACTTGAGGGAACAGGTTCAGAAACTGGGAATTTGCACTTTGTACTCCAAAGCGACCAGAAGCGTTACAAGCAAAGAGGACATTCGGTCTGGCCAGACAAGAACTTCCAGACAGGTGAATTACTGGAAGTTGACACAATCCAAAACAGTGATTTGAGAAGACAAGCCAATGGGATACAGTGTAAAAACTGCTGGTTAAATTATAACTTTTGGAGGGAGCACCTCTAGAGATATTGCAAATTTTTTATTCTAGATATTCTAGCAAACAAGGTTCCACTTACTCACTCTGCATCCCAAGGCTAAACAAAATTGCCTCCATCTCTCCCAGCCAGTTCACCAGGATGGATGAGGAGCACCTTCATGACGAGCTGCATATCTTTAAAGGTAAATTTCTGCCAAGCTATCCCTTCCAGCCACTGCCTCCGGGAGAGAGCCAGGAGCAAGGAGGACAGCAAAGCCAGACTCTCTAGCACACTTTCTTTCCTGATCTGCCCATGTACTTAACTTCCAGATGAAAGGAAGGTCTTGCTACTCCCACCTACCTGAGTCCTTGTCTGCTTAGGCAACTTGGCTAATTAACTACAATGGGGTTGATTGGTTGGGATGAGGAACCCCACCCTGCAAGAGCTGTAGGATTGCCCCTGGGGTAAAGACTCAGACAGAAGATGGATGAAGGGGGCTTTGCTGCAGGTGTAGGGTGTTACTGATATGAAGGTCTGCAGCTGCTGTAAAGCTGTTGGTGATTTGGAAGCCCAACAAGCAATAGCTGTTCAGCCCAGAAGCGTCCTGGGCCAGAGTAAAACTGGGCTCCTCCTGGAGGCTTCTCAGGTTGAGATCCCTATATTGAGTGATCCAGCACCCTTGCAAATCTTTCAAGGGTGGGTCCAAGGTTTAGCGCCCCCCCCCCCCCCCCCCCCCCGAGGGGAGAGGAGAACACCTGACATCAGCTAGGGATAGGGAAGAGTTCTCCCTTTTGAAAAGAGTTTAGAAACATGTTGTTTTGAAATATGTGATGTAAGGTTACAATTTCTTTGGAGAAAGCTTTGACTTTTTGTTTTGTTTGTGTGGCGATCGGCAGATCATCTGCCCTGCCCTTTAACGAGGCCACATCAGTGCTAATACAGTGCAAGTCCATGATGGCTGTCAATTAGCTGTGCCATAGATGGTTTTGAGCATTATAACCAAATTCTTGGTTTCTATAGCAAACAGTAAACCATTGCAGGTTATTTATTAACCCTCTTACAAATGGAACCAAAGAAGCTATGAAACTCAAACTAATCCACTTATCAGAGGGAATATTTTCACATCTATTTCTGTGTTTGTTTTAAAGACAGAAACTTTTTCCAGCAGAAGCTGAGATCCTTTTTCACGGTATACTTGCTACTGGCACTCTCCTTCTTGCTGATCATCACCCTGTTTGCTGTGTCACTCTCCAGAGGTACTGTGACATCTTTGAAAGGGTCTATATCTCGTGCTAATTAATTAGACAGGTAGGACCAAAAGATATATGAGGTTTCAGTGCACACTCACTCACTATAGATCTCTGTAGGTCCTCGTAACCCATATTGTAACAGCCTAAAGCAGGAATCGCTGTGCACTGACTCTGTATGGGCCTGTGGTTGGAGAGAGCCTCCCCTGAAGGCTGGGAGACCAGCCTCGTGCACACACGTGGTGCTATCACCGCCGGACAGGGGCGTACAGGCTTTGCTGAGACCTGAGCAAGGAGGTGCACAGAGTGGACAGCTGCCAGGTCGAGGCTCAGACGTCGGGTCATTCGAGCACAGCCCCACAAGGGCGTCCGTGGATTTGCAGCGAGGCAGCGTATGCCTTAGCTCAGATAGGAGAGGGTGGAGTAAAGAGAGGGACACCCAGACTGTCCCATGGAGGGACTGCTGAAGTCCATGCTGCGGTCTCAAGCTATGCCAGGCTACAGCCAGTGAACTGTCTCCTGGGACTCCTTTGCCCTGCAGCCTGCTGGAAAGGGGCATCCCCAGCAGGTTAAACAAGCCAGAACAGAACATGTCTTTAGTCTTGATGGGTGATGTGCTTGCAGGTAACGATGCATGGGTAATGGCAAACAATGCAACCAGTAACCCAGCATCTCTCTCTTGTAATAGTTTCTGCCCTTTCTTCTAAACTCCATGAGATGCACCTGGAACGGAAACAGAACCATTCTGGCATGGATTTCCTGTGTAAGTCCTGACTGCTATCCAAGACCACAAAGGGCTCCTGCTTACAATCTGCTTCTCCCAAGCTTTTTCCCCCTCTGCAATCTCCCTAAATCATCCATGAAGTGTTCCTGCTCTGCATTTCCTTTGCTAAGGCTTTGCACAGTGCTTGTCCCCTTCTGGATTCGCTGGTGCCAAGTCTCACCTGTGCTGTCTTGCGATGTCCTCAGGCTCCCTTGCTGAGAGGTCTTCTAGCAGTTGCTAAGATGGCATCATCTCTTCTGATTTGCCTGGCCTCACAGACCAGCACAAAGGATCCTGGCTTCAGCTATGTTTATTTGCTTTAGAGTCTGGTTTCCAGAAATCTTATACTATTGTATTTCAGAAAAAAAGCAAATGTTCCCTGTAGTAGGAGCCTTTTTTGGTGCCAGGTGCCACATTCATGGGAATCCAATATACATCAGGCTTTATGGTCATGCCGTTGTGTCTACACCAGTCAGCATTTGGCACTGCAACACTGCTAGGAAAACCCCCGTGCTGGGGTGAGTCTGGTGGGGATTGAAACAACTGCCTGCAGCAGTCTCTCTGAATTCCCTCACTCCTTCCTTTTGCCAGTATTTCCCTGTGGACCTGGATCCAGGGAGTGGGAGTACTTTGACAGAAAATGTTACTACTTCTCCCTGCGTAGAATGAGCTGGCACAAGGCAAAGGCTCAGTGTGAAGAGATGCACTCACAACTGGCTATCATTGACAGCTACGCCAAGCAGGTAAAGACCCCAGCATTAGCCAAGAAGGCCCAGGCTCGCCTGAGTCCTGTCTGCAGCCCTGGCCTCCTGCAAAACGCCCCCAGTACCATCCTTGTCCGGTGCTCTCACCTTGCACGCACCGGCCTCAGCCTCTCACTGGGCAGCCGGAGCAGCCCACAGCAGGTGCCTGCTGTTATCCTCTGCACCAGCCAGCAGAGAGCAGGCACAACTCGCTCCGCCTGCCTGCTGCATGCCCGGCTTAGGCGTCCAGGGTTTCTCTCGTGTGCGGGATGCTTAGACGCAGCAAAGATCCTGCCCCGCCGGTACCTGTCCTGCTCCTCCACATTGCAAATGAATAAGCCAAATGCAGAGCTCCCACTGCCCTGAGCCTGTTCACCTGAGGAACTGTTTCCTGGTGCTTTCCCTCCTGATCCATCTCCCTGCTGCAGAATTTTGTCATGTTCAGGACAAGGAATGAACGCTTCTGGATTGGGCTCACAGATGAGAACTTGGAAGGGGAATGGGAATGGATCGACGGGACTGACTACAAAACCACATTCACGTGAGTGCCAGCCTGACCCACTCTGTCATCCCACAGCCCTAGAGGAGCAGGTACCTTCCCCACCTGCGCGCACCTCTATATCAGCTCAAAGGCACCTGCAGCCTGGGTTTCCCTGCTTTGCTCTGTACCCACCAAGGGAAGCCTTGGGAAGCAGCGTGGGATGGGCACTTACACCAGCACCAGGTCTAACATGGCATCAGAGACATGAACTAGCATCTAAAGCCATCTAAAATTGCATTGTTTTAGCTAGTACCCGCCGTCCTCCCAGCGGCAGGAAAAGCAACACCATTCAGGCCAAGCTCTGGGCTGTGTGCCCCTGCTCCCCATCGTTCCCTCTCTCCCCAGATTCTGGAAGGAAGGAGAGCCCAACAACAGTGGCAACGAGGACTGTGCCCACCTCTGGAGCTTCGGGCAATGGAACGATGTCTACTGCACCTATGAGTGCTACTACATCTGTGAAAAGCCTGTGCCCACCTGAACGGTACTGAGCAACGCCAGCATGCTGCACCCAACCCGAGCTGCGCGTGAAGGCAACATCCTGTGCTCCGACAACGCGAATGTTCCTTGCTCTTCTTAATTTATGCTATCCAAGTGTCCATTTTTTGCTGGTTCCTCTCAGCCATTGGGAACCACACTGTCCTGAGGAAGGACAGAAAAGGACTTTAACAGTCCTAAGCAACATCGGAGGAGTCCTGGTTCTCCACAAGGAGCTCAGCTTAATAAAGGACAATTATTGCTCTGGAGCACTGGTTAAAATGGCCTCTCTGTCTCTAGGTGTGCTTGCATGTGTGAGGGGGGTGGGGGAGAGCCGGACTGCAGCAGATGGATGTCACGCACGTCGGCTCCAAGCCGAAGGACAGCACCATTAGCAGGAGCACGCAGCAGGCTGGGCGCGAGTGGGGCAAAGCGTGGGCGTGGGGGGGTGTCACCCCACGCAGCGCCCTTGGGGCAGGCCGGGGGCAGCTCTCCCTTGGTAGCATCAGGGACTGGCAGCTTGGAACAGGCTGCGGCGTTGCCGAACCACATCTGAGGGGAGACAGCAGAGGTGCCTCCACCATGAACCCTTCCTGCTCCGGCAGGGGTTTGGTGCTAGCGGCAGATCTGCATCTCTAACTGCAACTCCTCTGCCGGCCCTGGCTCCGCTGCCTGCGGTCGCCTCCCTTGGAGCTGGGGCTGCTCATAGCCACAGACACTGCTCCCTCCCGGCTCGGGTCCCTGCTGCCAAGCAAAGTGTCCAGGCCACAGGCAGCCGTGGGACACCGAGTGTTCGTCAGTAAACGCTGTCTCTGGGGAGGTGGTGACAGGAGCAGCTGGACAGGAAATGTGATTCGGTTTTCCTGCAGAGAAAAAAAAAATCATTTTCATAGCTTTTCCTTTTTTTCAGTTTGGATTTCACATTACAAAATTGCCCGGTACTTGTTTGTCACTAGATAAAACTTGATCATCGTTCAACTCGTCACTTTGCTGGTGACTGGCAAAGGTACAGCAAATGCTGGGGAAGGACCATACGGAGATGCCTGAGTGAGACACCCATGTCCCTGGCACCCGGGTCCTGACCCCGAGCTGGCCACCCACGTCCCCTCTCCCTGATACGGATGCCAGCGAGCCTGTGGCGAAGGGCGCTCCCCTCCCAGTCCCCACTGGCCATCCCAGCGGTGTGCCCGCTTGCGCACGGTGCGTGGGGCGTCCCGGCTCAGACGTGCTGCTGCATAAAGCGCTGTCAAATGTGTTTCAGGCACAGGCTCTTCTGCGGCTCTGCTTGAACCATGCTGGGAGCTGGAGAGCTTTGACGGGCCCCTGGTCTCAAGAAGCCAGAGAGCGAGCGTGTGTGCGCGTGTGCACGCGTACGGGTGCACGCATGCTGCAGGGAGCGGGTGTACGTACGCGTGCACACCCTGCAAGGTGTGCGAGGCATGTGCACGGGTGCGCGCACTGCAGGGAGCCCATGTGCTACCGGGGTGCCCGGCTGCACCCCTGCCCGCGGGCAGCCTCGGCCTTTCCCACCATTACACTCAGGGCGGGCAGAGTCGCGCGGCCGGGCCGGCCTGGGCGCGA